TTAGGTCTTGCAAACCATCCGCATGCGCCCTTCAACCTCCTTTCTCCCTAGCAGACCCGGCCTGTCTTAACCCGCGCACCGACGGGGGTCTGCGCCAACTTCGCACCGACGGGGGGGGGGCGGATGACCGCCCCCCCCTGAGATCTCGAGAACGAAGCAAAATAGCGACAAGCGGTAAACGGCATCGGATACGCACGGCCAAGATCTACAATTTTTACTAAGGTCATTTTCAGGTCAGGTCAAAGATGACGTCACAGGGGTCGAAAAAGTCAAAATGGCGGCGCTAGATATGGAGAGAGTTTTTCTCGAATAACATTCGAATTAGTCAAGATAGGAACAAACTAAGGGCATCATCGTGATCCTCTCGTCAATCCGCATCGAATGATATATATATGTTGACCTCGAAAGGTCAAGGTCAAAGATTGACCTCAGGTCACGTGACCTCGAGGTCAGCATGTATACCATTCGATGCGTCTTGACGAGCTGAACACAATGAGACCATCCACGCGTCTGTATCTTGTTCCTGTACGGAGTTATTGGCCAAAAACCTTTGGTGACCTTTGATGACGTCACATGACCTCACAGCTGCCCAACAGCAAAACAGACCTCAAGGTAGTGAGGGTTGATCGTATATGAAGTCATGTATGGTATATGGGGCCATTCCGACCCGTTTTAGTGGTAAAAACAGGGAGTTGATTTTTCCCTCATTGACTTATAATGGGGAGGTCGCGAAATTGACCTGACCTTAGGTCACCGATATCAAAATTCCGAGATATACGAATTGTAGCTACTAATGACCTAATAATATCCTGCGACTTTCAAAGGCCTCCGACATCTACTGTAGCTCTGGCACGGTGACAAAGTTGCAAAAAAGTGACTTGAGGTTGGGTCATTCAAAGTGACCTGGTGACCTGACCTTAAAAGGTAGGAGGTTCAAACTTGCACACCATGTGTAAAATTGATGAGGTTATAGTCATACCAAATTTCACGGGGGGGGCGGATATCCGCCCCCCCCCGTCGGTGCGAGGGTTAAAACTTAACATCCCTGCCCTTTAACCCTACCCTGCCTGTTCTACACCTGCCTTGGCACTGCCCAATGCCCATGTTTCAACATTACATTTCCCCCATCAACTGCCTTAACCTGACTCGCCCACTCTGTTCAGTTCGGTTCGACCCGGTCTAGTCAGTTTCAATCTGCTGACTTTGTCCTTCCGTATCCTTTGATGCTCCACAAGGAGAGAGTCGGGGCTGAGGGGCGGCCCCTGCCCTGCCAACTGCTCAGTAGTGTGAGGAAAAGCGAATTCTTTCAAAAGATCATCTGAAATCAATTTGTACCTAATTAACCAACACAATTGAAAGAGAACAAGTCATTGATGCATCGAAAATAAAATGTGATAAAGACCGCTTTCTTTCCTTGTCAAAACAAATGTCCTGAATACTTACAGAAAAATAATAAAAGCAATGCTGATAATACTTTTGCGGCATTTATGTCACTCAAATATGATGCAACAAGCCAATTTTCGGTCTTCGAAACATGTACGGACATTGCGTACAAGTTTTGAAAGGTCCGAAAACTTGTACGGACACTGTCTAGTGTCCGTAGTGGTGGCGACGCACATGTGGCGCGTGGGCTGTAATGTTTGGATAGATCGTCCCGTACCCTTCAAAACGTGGGCTGTGACTGAACTGTTTCGCTGGATCAACCAGCGCCCCACCGTGACTGTGTCTTGATCAGGGAGGAATGTTCACGCGGCTGTGTTTTTAATCAAGAACGAGTGTAATGTTTCGGTACATCGCCATTCACCCGACTGAAACGCGCACTGACGTGGTACGTGTCGCCAGAGGCTAGTAGCTTAGCAACCTACACATTTTTTTTGTTTTACGATTCATGATGGATATATTTTTCCTGAGGGTCACGTGAGGTCATTTCGGACTCCTGACCTCGCCATCATGAGGTCGCCATCATACCGGGGATCAAGTGCGAGGGTCACAATGATACCAGTCTCAGGAATAAAGAGAAGGCAGCAATTAACGAAGCATACTGCGAAATAATAGGATAAACAAACGGCTTCAAGCACTAATAACTTCATTAAATTATTATATCCTAGCATAAAAAATGCATAGCAACATGACGTTTCGGTAGATAGAGCTGATAAGGAGGAGGCAACAATTAACGTAGCAAAATGCGAAATAATAGGACAAATAAACGGCTTCAAACACCAATAACTTCATTGAACGACTATATCCTGGCATAAACATGGCATAGCAACATAGCTTGTTGAAAGCGCCTTCGATTGAATCCAAGAACAAATCTATGCGACTAATGTGAGGGGAGATATGTAAGATAAAACATTTTTATGTTGTCATTTTAATACGTTCTTTCAGCGCCGGCCGCCCGCCGGCCGCCGCCCGCAGTCGACGCTAGCGCACCCTGTGGCCGGCCGGCGAAACGGGACAAAGACAACCAATCAGCTTCCCCCGCCGCCCGCTGGATCCGCCGCTGGCCGGCAGTCCCAATCGAGTACCAATGAGTCCCAAATGCGGCCCGAATAGTTCCAAATGTTAACACGCGCGGCTATGCATTTGGTATCATTTGGGACTGATTTGAAACTGCAATTGGCACTGCCCATTGAGTTCAACATTATTTGGAACTAATTGGTACTAGAAATTGGGAGAAGCACCCTCCGAGTCGACCTACTCTCTCCCGCCGCCACACAACTAGGTAGGGGAGAGTGGGGCAAAGCGGCCACCCGGGGCAAAGCGGCCATCCATCGTTTTAGCCCTCCACAGCTGGCGTCAGTTCCAATTTATGATTTCCAATTATACTTCTCTTTGCGGTCGTTCGAATGAGCCAGACCGGGGTTTCAGGCCCATCGCCATTGTTCTGTGAAACACGGAAAAGCATTTCTTGCCAGATTACCAATTATGTTTACAATTTTTAAATGTTATTTTATTCCATAACCGTTTGGAATTTTTATAAGCGTTTTTGTCCATGCATTGCGTGGTTATCGTACATGCCTTCTACCAATTTTAATGCTTTTTACCCCACTAATAGCTGAGCTGGAATATTTTTGTCTCGGACGGTATGCGCGGGGCAAAGCGGCCGGGGCAAAGTGGCCAGCCCCCAATTGGCCATAAGTTGTTTCCATCTGGATACAAACATTATTTATATTCAAATGTGTCGTCATGCATTCATCTTGGCCACTTTTCGGTTACATGAGCTACCAAATTATGCAATTAAATGTTTTTCCAAGAAAATTCTTTCTTTGTTTAGCAATAGGTGGGAAGATAACAAGGTAAACATCCATCTTCCCTTAAACCTTGTCACCATCGAATACCCTAGTCGTGCATGAGGCAACTATTCTGTTTCTCATATCGGGACTTGAGAAGTCGCCAGTGGCCGCTTTGCCTCAGGGATGGGGCAAAGTGGCCAATATGCTATAGGTTTAAAGTTTTGTCAATATCTCCCATATGTGAACGCCTTTGGAAATGAAACGCAGTTGGAATAAAAGACAATTTAATAGGGATCACATTGGTATAGAAAGAATCTTTCCAAGTTTAAAAATCAAGCGTCGGCATCGTTAGAAACGTTAGGGTGGCCGCTTTGCCCCACTCTCCCCTACCTATATGGGTAAATGTCATAGTCTAAAAATGCTCTCTGGGTTTCACATGCTTGTTCAAAGCAAGAGGTATCTGTACTTTTTAGCAAGAGGTATCTGTACTTTTCCGAATTGTTTTATAGTGGTAAGGTCATGAATCCGCGTGCCTGACCTTCCAATATACCTATGCTACACCGATCCGTCGTCATGGTGCAGCGGCCCGACCGGTGGGCACACCGTGAGACGGTAAATGGAACTGGTGATTTTGCCTTAAATTGAGCTCAAAGATTTCACGCAAGAATGAGATGGATGAAGCAAAGTAATGCCAACTGTGCGGCGCCTCGTGGACGTAAAAAATTAGCCAATCACCCCCCCCCGGTGACGGATAAATGTTATGTCCCGCGAGTGTGACTTTGGCCCCCCCTTTTGCTAGCGGCTGCGACCGCCAGTGCTTTGACCTGACCTGTGACGTCATCGGTTTGACCTAGGCCAATGAAATTTGGTCACAAAGTAGTTCCCAGGTGGGGCTATCGAACGCCGTTTGAATTTTGAAAATCGGCCGGTAAATTCCCGAGATCTTGGGGGGGGGGCGAAGAAACGCCCCCCCCCCCCTCCCTATAACGGGTGGTAACTGGTAGGGTCCGCCGATAGCCCTACGGGATGCGGAATCGTCAAAATAAATGTTTCGTTCATCGCAGTTCATCGCGGCTTTAAAAAGCCCCCCTCCCCTCGCCCACCAAAATTACATTCTGCACTACCGCCGCAGCGCTGCCTGATCGAGCCTCACGCCTCCGAAGTGCTGAGTAGACGACCCCGATGCGATTTTGCTCTACACGTGAAACCTCGCCAGTCGCCGGCCGCACTCCGCACTCCCCGGCCTCCAATTGGCTGGTGGCGCTCGAGCGTCTCTGACGTCAGCACTGGCCCTGAAAGACCTTTGCGGAGCGAGGGAATTTGTCGCAGTGCGAGAGAGACTGGCGTGGTGTGTGTGTCTGGGCGAGTGCTGTTTTTGTTCTTTGTGACTAAGGCTGTGTCGGCAAACACGAATGCGAGTGTGCTGAGCACCTGCCGACATATTACGAAGGGAGCACCGTGACAGGAGCAAGGACTGACTACGTGAGTTGCTTGATGCATGCACGTACCAGTGCAGCGTGTGTGGTTAGCAGGTTGTGTTGTGCCAGTGTTGGCCGTGCTCTAGCATGGTCTAGTGTGCTGCTTGATTCCTGCGTCTACAACGCTTTTCAATATTAAAATTGATGCTTCAGTTTCGCCATCGGTAGGGCACCACCTGTATTTGCCGCCACTTGTTTGCATTTTCTCTTTCTAACTGTTAACGCTTAGTAAGCTTGAATTTAAAAGACAGTTTTTGTTCAGCCACCTGACGCTCATTAACCATTTCAGCTCCTGGTTGAGGAACGCCCAGTCATGAAAGCTGAAGTGTTTGCGGCATCGGACTTCATCGTGAGTCTGCTCCGGGTAGGCAGTCCGAGCAGCTTGAGTGAAGAGAACTTGATGGTTTTCCGGGATACGCTGGCCATGGTAATGCGGAATCATTACCACAACCATTGGTTCCCGGAAAGGCCATTCAAGGGCTCGGGCTACCGGTGCATCCGAATCAACGGTCAGATGGACCCTTTGGTGGCGGCGGCGGGGGCCAGCTGTGGCTTGGATGCGGTCTTTCTGCGCTCACTCTTTCCCAGCGAACTGACCCTGTGGGTGGACCCTCACGAGGTGTCGTACCGGATCGGCGAGAACGGCTCCGTCTGTGTGCTGCTGGACGAGCGGGCTCGTCCGGAGCCGGCCAAGAAGGACCGGATGCGCTCCGCGTACGGCAATTTCGGCGGCTGGGCGCCCGAGCCAGTCTCGGCCTGCGCCTTCAGCTAAACACCAGCCCTCCTCGTCGCCTCCCATCCTGCCAGCCATAGTGTGATATGATCTCAGCAAAGTGGTAATTATCGGCGGTGCTAAGAGATGCATGAGCATCAGGGCATGTTTGAGCTGGTGTCCCCTGGGTCATTCATGTGAGCGAAAAAGCTGTCATCGCATTCCCATCTGCCTGAACCCCCGCCCCCACCGAAGCCAGGGCATGAAGAATGCGGAACCAAAAAAATAGCAAAATATAGAAAAAGTGGTGCTAAAGTCAACTGCGAAGTGATAAATATCCGCTCTCCTCAGCCCTGGAGAGGTTCGGGGAAGAGCATCCGAAGACCTTTCCCCTCGTTGTTGACGCCGCCGATCCGAGGAATGGCGATAGGTCCGTGGTGCCATTATTGCTGAGACGACTGGCTCGCTCGTTGTTGACCCAAAATGGTGCAGGCCAGCCATGTTCAAATCTGTTTCGATTATTGTTGACAATTTATTTTGTGCTAATAATGAAGCTAAGCCAAAGGCGAGCTGCTCTGTGAGAGGTATGTGATAGAGAGAAATGTATCTGGAGTGCTGCGCAATCACGCTGGGGATAAGTCCTAGGTGCTCGTGTTCATGTTCATCGTTCGTGACGGCTGAAGTGTCGGCTGCTGCTGGTGTGCTCTGCCGAGGTCAGGTCAGGTCACTTTTGATCCCCGGGTGCGCCAGGAGCGGCTGACCTTTGTTCTCATCGATATCACCCAGGGGCCATCGCTCTCACTGGCCCTTCATTCATCAACTTCCAACTTTTTAATCTGACAAAAGCCGCAAGTACAAGTCGACTTGGGTCGATTCTTTGCACAGTCATTGCAACATGGTTGACCAGTGATGTGGATGGTATTTCTGCGTATTTTATGTATAAATTGGATTGTACTTAATACGACGACAGGGGTCGAAGTCACCTGAGGGTAAAGGTACAAATAAGTCGAGCATAGCCTGTGATTCGTTCCGCCACGCTAGTTTTCTCTCCTGCCTGCTGGGTCAATTTGTTGATTTTATCGAGTTCACTCGCGTGGTCCGGACGTGCTGGTGTTTTAACTGTCGTGCTGGAACCCTATGTATATAGTAACCCTCTTGTTGGCTGTGGCGTGTGGGCGTACCAATTTGGTCGCATCACACACCTGCAAGACGCTTTCCAAATTTGTATTTTATTTGCCTCGATGAGTCCGCCGTGTCGTAGATGTTTTGTACAGAAATATATGCTAATTCTGCAAGTGAACCTATAGTTTGCGTCGTTTTGGTGTGAGGGATACTCTGAATCATGGGTGTCGATTTGTATACCTTTGGGGGTGCTGCAGCACCCCCAATGCTCAAATGAGCACCCCCAATGGTTTTCCGGGCACCCCCAAATGTTCCAGTTTAGCATCCCCAATGATTTGGTCCCTCAAAAACTCCCACTAAATCTGCTTGAGGAAAATAATTGGTTCCGCAGTCTTTCACTACTAAAAATAAAACAATTACGCAGTTTACAATGCATGAAGTAAAGATGTAAAGAAAGTAAAAGTTAGTCTTAAGAAGAAGGGCGTAAAAAGACGTTAAGTTGCAAAGACACTGGTGTGGGTCCGTCGTAGACGGGTGTCGGACCCTTAGAGCTGATGGCGTGTACCCTTTACAAGCCGGCAGGGGGCTCCAGAGACCGGCGACGGGCCCTCAGAGGCCGGCAAAGTGCCATCAGAGGCCGGTGGTACCTTCAGAAACCCTGTGGGGTCGTCTCTAGAGACCGGCACGGGCTCAGATGCCGATGGGGCCCTCAGAGTCGCCGGTGTGGGGCCTTCAAATGTCACCGGTGGGTGGCCATCACATGTGCACTTGTGGGACCTTCAGAAGCGACGATGTTGGGCCCTCAAAGCCGCCGATATAGGGCCTTAAGAGGCACTAGTGTGGGGCCCTCAGATATGGCAATGTATGGCCCTCACAGGCGCCGTTGTGGGGGCTCTCAGAGACACTGGTTTAGGGCCATCACAGGCGCGCGTGTGGCCCTCAGAACTGCTGTTACGGAACGGACCCTTCATAGGCCGACAAGAAGATATCAAGAGGTCACCGGTGCCATCAGGAGCCTTGTGGGGTTCTCAGAGACCGGCATGGCGCTCTCAGACGCCGCTGGGACCCTCCGAGTCACCTGTGTGGGACCGTCAGGGTCGCTGATAACTGACAAGGGCCCTCAGAACCGCCCATGTGGGGTTTTTAAATGCATTGGTGTGGGGCCTCAGAGTTAGGGGTGTGGGGCCCTCAGAGACGCCGGTGTGGCGCTCAGAGGCGCCGGTGAGGGCCCTCACAGTCGCCGTTATAGGGGCCCTCAGCGAAATAGGTGTGGGGCTATTACAGGCGGGTGTGGAGCTCCCAGAGAGCTCCCAGAGCCCCCTAACCCAGCCAGCAATTTGGTTCGGCGCAAGTCCGTTTTGCCCCGGCAACTCCGACATGCCAGACTCGGGCCAGTATAAAAGGAACGCCGTCAGAACCGGGGTTTGGGTCGATACGGCTCTATTCCGGTTAGCCAGTCTTGGCCGTAGCGCTCCCGGGTTGGTATGGTTCCGGACCGCCAAGTCTGGCTCAAGTCCGGCTCCCTGCCACGGCTCAAGTCCGGCTCCCTTACGACCAGTCCGGCTGCCTCATAGCTGCTCTGGCTTACTGTGGCTGAAGTACGGTGGAGGTACGGCACGGCTGATGCGGCATAAGTCCGGCTGTGGTGCGGGCGAGCTCCGGGATCGTGTCAGCTCCACTAGAGCCCCAGACCTTGCCCGTACTTTAGCCGGAGCAAATGCCTGAGCTATCCAGAGTAAAACCAGCTACGGCCAAGGCCAAATTTGCTGGCTGGGAATAGGCCGGTTAGGACCCCCAGAGTCCGGCAAGTGGCCCTCCGAAGCCGGTAAGGGGCCCTCAGAGGCTGGCTTGGGCCCTTATGGAGATCTTATTGTTGATACTTGTGGGCCCATGAGGTGTTTTTTACGAGCCCTGTGGGGCCCTTCTGAGTCCAAATATGGTCAACATGGACCCTCAGGCCCGAATAACCCGAGGGGACCCTGAACCTGATGGGGGGGGGGCACGTGCCTCACGGGCCCACCTGGCTACGCCACTGAGGAAAATCGTAAACCTGTAAATATCCAAATGCGATCACCTTTCATTTTTTCAGCGATTATTGTGATCGTCTAATTACTGCCAGAGCATCATAGCTACCGTTGTCTCCGCGCAATGTCCGCCCCTGCGGACCGCAGCGACTGCTGCACCGGTGCTAATCGCCGTCATCGGTTTCTGTCACCTTTTAACAGAGGTGCCGGGGCTGCTGCCATACTGCCGGCAAATATACGACTTTTTTCGGAAAGATGTTTATGTAATAAGGTAGCCAAGTACTAGGGCGAGCGGAATGATTTTCAAGAAGAACGTTCTGCCCTTGGGAAATATTAGTGGAAATCTCGGCATTATCAGTATTCAGTACCTTATGGGGATAACCAACCCTATACGGTTGTGCCCCATAGCAAAGCTGCAATCTTTCACCCGGTGCAGGGGTTGAGCACCCCCAACCATTTTGAAAAATCGACACCCCTGCTCTGAATTTCGAGCACGCTTGCCAAGTGCAGTATTAGCAATTTCCGACGACTCATCCGCTTACTGATCCTGCAAGATGCTGTTTTGAAAATATCTTATGAAATTGAGCAGGCATAATCGATGAGAAGATGAAGTCGATATTGAAGCTTTTAGGAAAGGCATAAAGCTTCGAATGATGTTAACGGGATTATTGCTAGTTTAAAATATTTTAACTGCGAAGCAGCATGCGCCAGCTACATCGAAGGAAAGGTGAAAGAAGTGATTGTGAATGCACATTGTGTAGCGATCCAGAAGAATTGAAGATCAAGGAATAAGGCCGCAAATGTGTGTGTCTGACTACTATCCACGACATTGGTCTGTGGTGTTGACGGTGGTGGGCAGACCAGAATGGATCCAAGAAAATGCATCTTGGATCTGATCCCACGGATCTTTAACTCGGATCCGATAGGATCATAGATAGAGCTTTGTTTGTCGTGGACCTATTGGGATCATAAATCTGGACTGGTTGTCCAATGAGATCATAGATCCTCACTCAATATTTTGTCGACACATTACTCCTCAAGAAACGCCTGGTCCTGCTTTATTGTTATGTGATTATGCTTCAGAATTCATTGTTATGTGGTACTTTGTGACATGGAACCACATGGAAACATGGTTTCATTGGTTTCACTTGTTAGTTGTTAGGTCGATAGGATCCACTCGGATCATAGATCCCTGTTCTTTGTTTGACGTCAGATCCTATGAGATCATAGGTCGAGGATATATTTTCCACATAGGATCCAATTGAAGACGGCAACTAAGAGACGTGTTGCGCTGTTACTCAATGCAGCAGGCTCCTGGCTTTTAAGATTCGTTTTGCATACAGTGCATACACAAACGAGTAAATTTATCAGTGAAAAATGTATCAGTGTCCGATTAAATTGTCGAGCGGCCGCCAACATTCAGTGTTACCGTCCCAAAAATAATATCAATCCATTTAACACCTGTGATAAAAATTGTAACATCCGATTTTTTTTTTTACATGTATGACCTTGATGTCAGCAAATCTAGGCGCTAAAACTAGGCGCAAAACTAGGCGATAGAGCTATTAGGCATCAAACTCCGTTTGAATTTTAAATACTTAGCTGACCAGTGACAATGTTCTCAGAGGTAAGAAAGCGGGCCGACTCGGGGGCATCCATATGTTCCCCAGTTCATATTTGCCACACATATGCCACAGCAGATTCTGTAGGTTGTAGGTAGGTGGTACACTCGGGGACAGATTGATGTTCCACCACTCCCTACCCATCGGGCGATCCCATGGCTCAGCACTGGCTGCTTCCAGTGTTGCCTGCCCTCCGCACTGCTCAGCACTGCCTGCCAGTGCCAGTGCTGCCAGTGCTGCCACTGGCAGCAGCCAGTGCTGAGCCATGGGAGCCCGATGGGTAGGGAGTGGTGGAACATCAATCTGCCCCCGAGTGTACGTTGTAGGGTGTAGGTAAGGTTAGGTTAGGCTATAGGTATTATATTCTGTTTTATATTTTAATGTGAAAAGACAATTGTGACGATCGTGAGACGTGGACTTAATGGCACATATGATATACACCCTGTCGGCGCTAACCAGCACGATTATTAATTATTAATTAACCCTCGCCATTGTGGGGAAGGGATGGGTGAGCATTGGGCCTACACCGGAAACCTGGCGTCGTCCCAAACCTTGCGATTATTTCAATCCCACAGGTTATTTCCAATGATTTGAACCCTTCTGGTTTCCAACGCAATACATTTTTTTTTTTTTAGCATAGACCACTACACATTAAGGGCGCTGTAAAATACGTGACGGTGGCCGGTGGCGGCTGCTGCGTGTCGTCCCGGGCTCGGAGGCCGCCGGAACCGGACGTCAGAGCCCAGTGGCCTCGCCGGTCGGCTCTAATGGTCGGGGGGACATTGGGAGCGGACATGTGGGGCAGGCGCTGGGGCCCCGCTGGGGGTACATCCTGGATACACGGCGGCTGCGGGTCCAGCCAGCCAGCCGCTGTCTGTAATGCGGGCACTGCCGGCCGACACGGTCACCAGATCGGCCCGCATCAGCCCCGTCAACGCCGAGTTCGAGCCGCGCACGAAACATGACAATCGACCCGGATTATTTATTATTATTATTATTATTTCATATTCCCACTAACCACCATTCGGTGGGCATTACAGAGGGAAACACATTGACACACATAAACCATATACATACAATACAGGCAGCGCAGTGCCCTGTCATTCATAAACACGTATAACGAAATCAAAATGCAGAACAAAAGCGATTTTCTATAACACAAAGTTTGATGAGACAGCGAAGCCTCATAATTAACCGGCAATTATTACAACGAACAATGTGACATCACCGGAACAACACCACATACATATGCATCATTTTACCGCGTGATTTTCCAAAATATATTTCACAAAATCAGCTTTCGAATAGAATTCGAATTCGAATTCGAATAGAATTCGAACCCGGCAGTCTATCAGGCCGTGTTCCCTAGGTATGCAATTAGTGTATTGCGACACTGCGCTGAGCGGCTTATTTCGTGCTCCCTTGGGCTCGCTAATTAATGTTTTGGGTTGCACGCCACACAGTTATCCGTATGAGCGCCAACTGCTTTTAATGTTTACAGTGTAATGTTTATAGAGCATATACCAGCACAC